GACAGACAGACAAATGGACAAACACAGACTCAGAGAGAGACAAACACATAGACACACACACACACACACACAGATAGAGATAGATAGATAGATAAATAGATAGATAGATAGATAGATAGATAGATAGATAGATAGATAGATAGATAGATAGATAGATAGATAGATAGATAGACAGACAGAGAGATATGGGCTGATTTTAAACACCAAAATGGGCTTCAAATATATGCATATATTAATATCATAATTTTAATGAACAACTCAAAGCTGCAAGAGATCCATGCAAGCTCAAATACACGTTAGCATATCATGCACACCCCCCCCCGTTCCTTGAAAAACGGCTACAAAAAACAGTTAATAAAAGCAAAAGCAAGAACATTTAAACTCCACAACACCCCCACTTCCACGCCAACGCATGCACACACACACACATAAACTCACACACACATACACACATATACACATATACGCACACACTCACACATAGACACATACATACACATACGCACATTCATACGCACACACATACACATACGTACACACGCTCATTTAATAATGAGAGGAATCTCTTTTAAAGCCTGAATCCTATGCAAATATATTATTTTGTGATTTCTTACTTATCCGGCTATATTAGACACAAATAGCTTTTGTTTACATATCTTATTTAGTTAACACAAAATATAAGTACATTTAGGTCACAGACAGTTTCCAATAATTCATAATAACTTCGCTTTGATAAGTTAGTTAAAATATTTTTTAAAAATATTTAAAAAAAAATGATTAGTCGCAAATAAAGAAACAGCTCCATCGACATCTATATAGATGATTCAGGAGGAGGGTTTCGACCTTGCCTGTCTGGCCAGTATGGGCTAAGAGGGATAGAGTCAGAACAGAAAGACCGAGATATACTCGATGAAATTCTCCGAACACTGGAATTGAACTCATATCTCCTTCGCGCAACGGTGTACCGCCTAACCACTGCTCCCCAGACGTCGTTTACGTTCCTTTAATTTCAGATTTTAAAAATATCACTTTTTAGAAATACGACTAAAACAAAGATTTGTTGACGCTTAGAAACGAGCTCATGGAATCTTTAATAAAACAATAAATTAACCGTACCTCGTGTTTTACTATCGTATCCATACGACGTGGGAACTCTGTGCCACCACTTTTCAAAGAGGAAATTTACTCGTTAATCCGATCCGTACGCTTTGCATAGCAGCCTGTCAAAACGATTTTTTGAGAAACACAGACAGTTTCAAAGAGATCTTCGCACTAGAAGTATTCTCAAATGTGAAGAATACAGCACCAGGGGTACACAATGACCACAGGGCGCACGGATAGGGTTAAAACAGATTCTTTCTAAAACATCTAACAAGATCGTGGCGCCTCAAGATTTTTTTAGCCCCACGCAACTGGCAGTCCTGCTGCAACTTGTCCTTACATGCATTTTGTTTTAGCGGATTTCTAAAGGCTTATTACTCACTAATAATAATAAAGTCTACTTCAGTAGTGGGCCCACATATTGTAGGGTTTTTGGCTTTCTGACTTTGAAGGGGAAAAGGACGAAAAGTCAGGTCTTACGTTCTTGTTGTGTTGTTTTTTTCTATTAATCTATATATATCTTGAGCAGCTCAGAATGTCTCACTGAACGTAGCTAGACTTGCGAGAAGACAAAATACAAAAACAAAACCAAAACCAAATATCAACCGGGAAAAAAACCACATTAAAAACCACCCACTCAACCGTCATTACGCGATTGAACGAAAATGGGTGGGGGTCAGAATGAATGAATGAATGCAAAAATATTGGCAAGCACTCACTCTTGGAAAGGTTATCAAAACCATTTGCATAGCGCTGAAACGATGATTCCACCCAACTTCGGTTCCTGGGGGACACGACCAAGGGATAAAGGTGCCATCAACTAGCGCAGGTGAAGAGATAAAAATAAATGGGTTGCCCTAGGACAGTATTAACCACACATAAAAATAAGAAGCGCCTCTTGAAGTTTTGGATTTTCCCACTTCAATGAAACGACTTTATAACATTTGAATAACTTCAGGCGATATGACACATCCGACTTTAGCCTTTTTGTAAAGCAAGCTATAGCTTGATTCACCGACCACACCCGCGAATTTAACATGATAAAAATGTACAAGTAAAGCATACGTTTGTAAGCTAAACATTGAGAGTTAACTTGTTGAAATGAAACACAATGCGAAAGATAAACTGGGTATAAATTATTAAACAGAGACTCGTCTTGCAGTCATCCTTCCCCTTTTCTCACTATCGACCCTGATAGGATCCTGTCTGTGCCTATGGGGCAAAAGACCGGACAAAACGGCCAAGGCGTTTTGACTATTTCACATATTTGTCCAAAGAACTAATGCTACTCTGTAGTATTTGAGACAATGGAATTATAGAAGTTTCTGGAAGAACAGGACCAGAGTTTGATAATTAACGCCACTTAATGATTCAGTAACCCCATGAAGAAATTTCCAATGGGGAAAAAAATAATCACATCTCCTTTTCCCAGGTCTACTGTGCATTTTAAGCAAAAAATGTCTCTCGATTTTGACTATGTATCATTAACAAAACAGAACAAAAAAGAAGCTTGTTTAAGAAAAAAAATGCGAAGACATTTGGTTAAAATTTTACGCACTATACTGACATATTTCACTACTCCATTCTGTGCGACCGAGGCTGCACTGCAGACAGGTGGAAGGTAACAGTGAGGTTATAAAAGCTCCATGGCAAAATATACACATTAAAAACAATTGAAATATAACTTTTGAAACATGCAAAACAGCTGATGAAGGAGAACACATTCATAACAAAATAGCAATTATTATTATTAACAAAATGAGGTTACAAAGCTCTGAGGCAAAATTTACAGAAGTGTGGAAATATAACGTCTGGAACATGTTTTTTTTAAAAAGCAGACAATGGAAAACATAACAAAACAAACATGTTATTTCTATGCACCTACAAAAAAGAAGAAGTACAGGTAATGACGTCATTCTGTAACACAAGTGACAACAAACACTCTCAACACGAGCAGTAGCAGTCGTCAGTTACAGGATACGGAATCTTTATCCATTTGCATTTTAAACGCAGCGCACCTAAAGACCCCTTTTGGGGCAGACTGTTCAATTTCTCTCTTGGCATCTTTGCGCGACGCCTTAGTCTATGAGAGAGGTGTAAATAATTGTTTTTATTAATGTCTTCAGGGTCAGAACCATGAATGTCCTTCACATTATTGTTCATATATCTTTTAGGATAATCAGTTCCGTCGTAAACATTTTCAAGGTCTAATTCATCTTCTTCCGGATTTTCATCTTCAAAACTATCCATTTCTGAAGTAATATCGCTTTCCTCGTCTGAATCGTCGACTGTGACGTCATCAGTGCTAAGATTGTCTCCTTCAGAAGACGTCCACAAAATACGGCGACGTCCCACTCGTTTCGGAAACCGAAAGTCATCTGAAACATGAGATTCCGTCTCACTTCTCTGACTTCTTCGGACGTGTTTTTTCCATCCTCGACGACCTTTGGCGCGCATGGCCCGGGCAGTCTTAGCACTTCCGCTGAGTTTGAAACGGTTGAAGTTATCCAGAGCTTTCTGATTCCGACACTGCCAGCGAAGAATTTTGAGTTTTTTCGACCTGGCGGGAACACAGTGCATACCAGGGGGCCACGAGCAGGATACGCTCTTCTCTGACGCCGATCCCGACGACGACGATGACGACGATGATGATGTCGACGACGACATTGAGTTGGCTTCCTCGCCACACATTCCTCGTCTGACCCATCTTGGCCAGAAGAGCAGGCCGAGATCTTCCCATTTGAAGTACACGGGACAGGAAGCTTGGCGCGTGAGCCAGGACTGCACAGCATTGAGAACATCACTGTTCAGAGAATTCAACACACTGTCACTATTCTCTCCCGATGTGTCATTTCTGACGGTGGAAGTATCGTTGATGTTGTCATCTCTTGCAAGGCTCTCGACCTCTCTCTGTAAGGCGTCCCAGTTCAGAGATTTCATGTCCTGGTGGAGAGATGTGTCGATTCGACGTTTGACGTAGGTTTCTAGAAGGCTCTCCGGCATCTCCGCTGACATCCAGAAGTTGTCAAAGTCTTTTCCCATTCGCCGCATCAGTCTTTTAGGCTGGAGACAATCACAGACACATTGTATAAGTCACGGAAGGAAACGTGATACATGAGGTAGTTGTGAAAAAAGCATTTATAGTAGACCTTATTTCTATATGTTATATGTTTCAGTTTTTTTGGTAAGGATTTAAGTCCCGTTGAGCCCGAGTCGGTCATTTGAAAGGCGACCACCTTTTTAGAAGAACAATTGTTAGAAGAAGACGATGGCATAAAGGAGAGAAAAAAAAGAAGATTCATAATGTTAAACATCACATCATTAAGAGCGTCAAAATGCAGACATCATGGGTAACATCTCACCATCGGGCCTGTAACGGGCCTATTTATGACCCATTGCCCGGTATCATCCCACACCCCCTTTTCATCTGTCTTCAGGGAATTTGTATCCATCTATTTGTCTTATTTAGCAAAGCTCACCTTACCAGAGTCTGTGGAGTAGCGGTTAGGTGCCTCGCTGTTGCACACAGAAGACTCGAGTTCGATTCTCGTGTGGGGAGAATATTAATTTTTATCGTGTATCTTGGTCGTTCTGCTGGGGCATGTTTTATTCCTCTCAAACTGGATTGGCTTCGATAGACAAGGTAGAAGCCCGCCTCCTAAATGATGTAAACCGTGTCCATGGGGTCATAAAAAATACGTTTGTTAAAACTTTTTAAATTTAAAAAAAGGAAGAGTCGCTCCAGATAAGCACATAATATAAGCAAAAATAAGCAGAGCTTACCTTGAGATGTTTCTTGCGCGGTGTGAGTCGCTTGAAGTCCAGGGAGGCCCCGGGCGGGAGTGTGAACTGTTGACTGCCAGGCGTGGGGGACTGTGTGGTCAGTCTGCTGGTCAGTCTGGGGGTCGTGTCCTGATGAAGAAGAGAAGAAGGGATTCCATATTTTTCTAAGTGTTGTTCTTTAGCATTTAATATCCGTGCGCCCTGGGGTCATTTTGTACCCCCGGGTTTGTATTTTTTTCCTTTTTAGAATACTTCTAATACGAAGATCTCTTTGAAACTTTCAGTATTTCTCAAAAATGCATTTTGAGAGAATGCTGTGCAAAGCGTACGGATCGGATTAACGAGAAAATTTCCTCTTAGGAAAGTGGTGGCACAGAGTTCCCCAAGTCGTATGAATACCATAGTAAAACACGACGTACGGATAGGGTTAAGCGAGGTACCGCACTACGGCAAAACAGTTGGTCAACGGTATTGTGTTTGAGTTGCGGGCAATGTAAATATCAGAAGAACGACTAAATTTATTAATAATTGTGTCGTGCTGGTGCTGTGGGCTTCTCTTATTTTCATTGTCCACAACACACGGTCCACTGTTTTTCTTTTAATGTGATGCCAGGCTAAGAACTCACTGTGGATCCCGCCAAAGGCTGCCGAAAACTTTATTCCTCATCAGAGATATTGATTTCCTTTAAAATAACCCGGGCAGAAGGAGCTCAATTACGGTTAAAGCTAAAGTTTGGATTAAAGTTAAATGAATATTTGTTAAAGTGAGACACACACACGCGCGCGCGCGCACACACACACACACACACACACACAGATATACAGAGAGAGAAACAGATAGGTAGACAGAGGCAGAGAAACAGAGAGACAAAGAGACAGACACAGACACAGAGAGATGGAGAGAGGGAAAGAGAGGGAGCGATGTACAATAACACTCGTTTATATCTGAGGTGCTGGAACAAAAAGGATGGTCATCTTGAAGAATCTTTCCCTAGAAGTACATGAAGGACTTACCTGTGCGCCAGGTGGTATGTGAAAGCCGGCCAAGACGCCGTTGAGAACCTGCAGGCCCAGGAGCACAGAGGAGATGTACAGCGGCATCACTGGACTTGTCTGTGGACACCACACAGAAACTATCGTCAGGCACAACTAAATGGGTAGACTTCCTTTCCTTTCTTTTTCTTTCCATTCCTTTCCTTCCCCTGATCCTTCCCTGTCCTTTACTTTACTTTACTTTACTTTACTTTACTTTACTTTACTTTACTTTACTTTACTTTACTTTACTTTACTTTACTTTACTTTACTTTTCCCTTCTTCTTGTGCGCTCGCTCATATGACCTCATGCCGTTGGGAACCATACAAATCTCCCTCTTCTTAGGTGGGGTCAGACCACACCATCACTAATTTATTCAGGACGGCATCAGCCATTCATGTCTAGGTGCAGTTTTCGGTCAAGGGATTAGTGGTGGCTTCTGCTGTAGATGATAAATATTATGTTATTCTGGGGGGAGGGGGGGGATTGCTTTGACGACGTTCAGCCAAGTTTTCCGCGGTCCACCCCTGTCTTTGAAGCCTGATTCTCTTCCTTTGTATGCTCGTGCAGCTTGCTGATTGGTAAGCATTCATATTAGTAGGTCGATTGGGAATGATTGCTAAGATTCACCTGGAGTACAGTTTTCCTAAGGCACTAGATTGAAAACTGAACCACAGAGAAACGTGGCTCTACATAGCCACTCGGATGTTAAAGTTTCTTTGGAAGAACTCTGTATAAATGAACTTGTTGATGTCACTGCTTCTGTCGTTTCTTATCGCTTTGGACGTTATCAAAACCCCTACACGTCTTTTTTTTATCGAACTGATTCCAGAAAAAGAAGGAGTATTTCTTTCTGAAGTAATTTTATCTCGATTTTTGCTGTTTAAAGACACACATTTTGGGAACATTAAAGAAGATGTGGCGGGTTTCGTGACTTGAAATACTGCCTTATCTATCATCCCAACTTTATGACTATTTTTGGTGAACCAAAGAGAAAAATACAGAGATTACAGAGAAAAAAGAAAGCACATGAACGACTAGACGCTTCAGATCATCGTGACCCACACGTCTTAAACGCCCGCCAGCCCCCATCAGCTTCGACAATCCAACACCCTTGCTCTGAAGAGCTCTAAGCATCTCACATGTGGCGTTGAATCATGTCGTGCCTTTCTTGATCGCTCCTCTTCATTTCTCCTCTTCAACTTACTCTCTGTTCTTTCTATTTTTTTGTATAACTTTCCCCCTTCTCTCTCTCTCTCTCTCTCTCTCTCTCTCTCTCTCTCTCTCTCTCTCTCTCTTCCTCTCTCTCTCCCTCTCTCGCTGATCAATTTTC